TTAAAAAAAAAAAAAAGAATGATGGGAACTAAAGTAAATACTGTTTAAAGGAATTACCATAGGGCTGCTGGGTCTTCATATGTTTCCAGGTTTGTACATATGAACTCTAGGAAACAAGCCAGGAAAATTCAGGTGTCTCAAAATGCTGAGCCTCTTTCAGCAGCGGTAGTCTGCTGCTGTGGCTGCTAGCTTGTCTTAGAGCAGAAGCACTTTGACCTTGACAATCATCTTCTGGTAACTTAAACCCTAAAGCTATGTTCACCATTTCAGTAGCCGCTACCCACACATGAATAAATCAAAATCAAGTAAAATTAAAAATTGAGTCCCATGGTTGCACTAGCCACATTTCAGACACACAGTACTCACATGTGGCTAGTGGCCTCTCTATGGACAGCACAGCCTGAGAAGTTTGAGGTTAAATCCTGAGGATTTTTCAGTAGCCGTAACGCACGAGTGCCTCAGCACAAACTTGCATTATGTGTTTTTGCCTGGCACATACTCAATCACACTCAGTAACTGTTGAAAGAAAGAACATAGGTGAGCCAGAATATTAGGAGATAATATTTTTAAGGGATCATCTCTTCTCCCTACAACACAGTTTAACAGAAGCCTTGAATGGCTTTAGTTCTAGTTTTTTTCCTCGTCCTCTTTAAGCAGTCATAACCACAAATTTGTGATTGGGTAAATTTCTCACCAAGGATTCTGTTACAGTTTTTTTGGATAAGTAAAGGTACAGACTTGCTGCACTTAGCTTTGTGGTTTCCTTCCCAGCCACATAGGGGTTGCTGACTAGCCACTTGCAGTTAAGATATGCAGTGTTGGGGTGCCTGGGGGACTCAGTCGGTTAAGCATCCGACTTGTGATTTTGGCTCAGGTCATGATCTCAGGGTTGTGGGATCGAGCTCCCAGTCAGGCTCCCTGCTCAGCGTGGAGTCTGCTTCTCCCTCCCTCTCTTCCCACCCCTCCCCCAACTTAAACTCTCTAAAATAAATAAAATCTTAAAAAAAAAAAAAGATGTGCTGTGCTTTCCAAATTCTCCAGTTGACAACACTTACTTATTAAAGAACTTCTTTCTTTACAGATGATGCCAGAAGTACGGGGAGCCTTATTTGGTGCAAATGCCAATAGGAAGTTTTTGGACTAAACCTTTGGGCGAGGTGGAGTTCATCCATTGCTCTCCTGCTGTCAGGCAGAAGTTTCTGATATTTGAAGAAACAAGATATCTGTGTGGCTTCCTCTTCACTCTTCTAATATTCTGTATTTATCAGTGGATCCTCTCTGTAGCTAATGCCCTTGGCCTAATTGTTAACATGAGAGAAAGTTTCACTTACTATGATCAGGAAACCTTCTTAGCTTATCTGAAAGTAGCACAACTTTCATTTGCTTCTGTAGCATGAAGGTGAGGGTATCAGATGGTGGTTACTGGAGCTTCCCCGAGTCTCTGCTCTTCCTCTCATCTTCTGCTGTCAGTTCTCAAGTCTAGAGGGTGATGTGTATCGTGTTCTCTGACATTCAGTCTCTGCTCTTTAGGCTTCAGATGCATGGGGGGCATGCATTCCTGCCAGCACTGGTAGCTTCACTGTTCACCTATTTGGGCCTAGAAGCGTTTCTCATCTGTAAATGTGATTTTGAATCTAAGCCATGAATCGGTCTTATTTATTAAAACAAAAGGTTTACATGGATTTCATTGTGATTTATTATGCAAGGCGCGCTACAAGTTTGTGGTTTTCGAGGGAAAGTTCTTTCTGAGGTATCTAGCCAAGCAGCGTTTCCCTAGTCCCTACAGTCGCTGGTTGACAGCGGTCACTACATGAAACCATCAGCCTTCTGTGTATCCTCTGGCACTCCCTGCTCACGTCTGCCAGCCCCTTACCAGCTTTCACACAGACCACACACACGGGTGGCATTACCTGTCCTTTGGAGGGTTTGGCCGCTTTATCGAGGAAGCAGTTTTACTAGCCTCGGCAGAGTCAGGAAGGCATCTAAGAGCTTACTGGGGGAGAAGGGTTACTGTGCGTCAGGCCTAAACCCTTTCACAAAAGTCCTTTTCTTCCTCTCCTCTAGCCTCCCGCCCGAGGCCTTGCAGCAGGGCAAAGGTGGGAGTCTAACTCGGGTTTGTCTCTACGGTCCGCACTCAACGCATGGTCAGCGTGCCTACTGAGCCTGACCGTTTTTCATAAATGTGACGTTTGGGACAAGGCAGGGACTAACGTAAGTGCCAACCCCTGGCACAGGCACTGTTTACTGAGGACCTGAGCCCCCGTGTTGCCGGCATCTCTCCGCAGCAGGCCTCTGGGGAAGGACTTGAGGCACGTGGGGACTGTCAAGGCAAACGTGTCCGGCAAGGGCGATGCAGTTATGCAGGGATGGAACCGAGGCTGAAAATCCGGTGTAACTGAAAGAGAAGGCACCCCTGCGGCTGTCCCCCAGCCTCCGCAGCGGTCATCTGTCCCGTGGCGGGACTGCTGCAGGGCTCATTCGGACGTGGCTCGGTTCTGAAACAGGGACAGTAGAGGGCAAACCATTCTCTGCGGCCCGTCTGCTTCTCCCACTAACGACAAGACGAGATCTGAATCCATTTTATTTAAAACCATGTTCCGTGGACAGTGTTCTGGGAGAGCTGTGCCGCGCAGGGAGGACCTTGGGGCGGGGGGAGACAGCTGCCCTGACTTGGCCCCTGCCCTGGCCGCTTGGTTAGCCTAATCCCACAGCCATCTCATTTGAAAAGATCTGCTTGGTTTCCAACTCAGTGCGGACTTAGAGGGCTTTCATTGTCCCCTTGAACTTCCGATCCTCCTTTTTCCCAAAATCAGTGCTAGAACTAACCATAGGTTATTTAATTCAGAATTAACAAAACTAAATCCTTAAACTGACTCAAGTATACAGAGTTTGAGTGTGAAGTAGAAAAGGAAAATGTAGAAATGACCCTTCAATCTTTACTGTGTTAAGGGCCTGCAGTTAATCCAACCCAAGCATGTACTGTTTCTGTTGTTGAAAAGGAGGTGGTTAGGGGCTTCTGAAGCTCCCCGGTAGCTGCAGCCCCAAAGAGAATGAATGAAGATAGGAAGGGAGAATGGGACCATACCTAACTTGCTTATTAGAGTAAGAGTGTTTCTTCTGAGATTGAGGTAGCACTACAAGTTAGAGAACAAAATACAACCTGGATGGGCCACCTTGCTCGTTCCCCTCTAGTCTAAGTTGAATGGGCTAGAGAGATGGCAGGGGACTTGGGCTCCAGCTATCTCTACTCGCAACACTTTAAGATCCGCTCCCCAATACCAACAAAGTAGACCCCTTGGGCAATCCCAAAGAGAGGGGCTATGACAAGGGCCCGGCAGCCTGCTCCCTTCATGAGGGCAGATGGTCCCTCCTGAATCCAGAGTTTCCTGTGGAGAGAGAAGAGCCCTGTGAGCTGATTGGCAGGAGCGCAGTGCGAACGGTATTAAGGGATACGCTCCCCTCCAACGCTTGTGCATCTTCCCTTGGAGAGTAGGTGTTATTTTTCACAGCAGTAGCAGGCTCCCAGGGGTGCAAGAGCCTTGCCCCACCCACTGTGTGTGCACAGTTGGGTTACTAAGCAGCTGGGTCTGGACCATGGGAAATGGGCTCAGTCTGACTAGACTGGGAGAAATGCTGTAGGGATGCGAAGGAGGAAAAGCTCCCAGGACATCCTGTTTTGTTGAGAGGTGAGGGGAAGGAACAGATTTCAAAGAAAGCCGGAGCTCAGCGTAGTATGGTGATAAAATTATAGACAGCAAGGCAGGGGGACTGTTCCAGCCCTAGCCTCTGCAGGGCTGCAGGCCCCTCACCTGGCACAGTCGGTGATCCCACTGTAGCTGTCCTCACCCAGGCCTTTTTTGAGGGTTTGGATTCGAGTTTTCAAAACTAAAACAAAAAAAGTAGTGAACGTCTTGCTTTTGGCCCCCTCTCTCCAACATAAAACTGTTTCCTGTTAGAGCCAGCATGCACAAAACTGAATCCTGAGGCCAGTTCTGCCACTGTGTGATCTGTAATAGAAGATCCTCATTTATAAAATGAAGGAATTAGAAATGACCTGATCCTTCAGGTTACTCATACTTTAGAAAGGTGCACCAGAGGAGCTGGGCGTAGCCCTGAAGATAGAAGTGTGGTCTCACACTGTTTTAATTCCTGCCTTTAACCTTAGGTTTGAAAACTCCACTGGGGGGACAAAAAGCTAATGAAATCAGCACCTAGAAGGTGAGGGGATTTGTCAGGGATAAGAGAGTCAAGGTCTCCTTGGCTCCACTTTATCTGGGAAGACCCTTGCTGAGTTTCTGGCCATGGCCACAGGTTGCGATCCAAGGGAGTTTTCAGGTTGGAGCGGTTTCATTTCTATCTGAAAAGTAGATGACAATCTTCTAGACAACTGTACAGCTGTCTGACTTGGAAAGTGAGCCAGCCCTTGAAGGCCCCCCATCTCTGACGCACTTACCATCCAGAGGTGTTACTGCGACAGCTGCTACGGAACCCGCAGCGCAGCCTGACATGAAGGAATGAGCGAAGGAAGCCTTCCCCGTGCTCTCGGTGACCCCAAGGTTGTTAAGGTTGGCAAACAGTGGGAAGTAGATGATGGAGAAGGGGATGTCTCTGCGGGAGAGGGAGCAGGAGAGGGAGCGGGATGAGCTGCCTGCTGCTCAGGGGGACCCCACCCCCACCCCCGCGGGCTCAGGCAGGAAGCCTTTCCCTAAGCCCACAGTTAACCTATTCTTTCCCTGGCCCCCATGATAATGTGCAGCGGCAGAGGGCGGCTGCCTGCCCACCCACGCTCCCGGCGCATCACTGCCCTCCCAGCACCTGCAGGACTCGGGCGGCGGACGGGGGCCTGGGAGCGTGCGAGAACGGGTGGCAGGGCTAAGGTAAGAGTGAGTGGGGGGAGTGGCTGGTGAAGAGCTCTAGAAGCTATGTGTTACGGGGATGGGGTGGGCAGGAAGGTGAAGTTCATTGACCTATTGCCCAGTGATAGGAGAAAACTAGCCCCTGGCCTGGCACACTTCTGATCAACTTTAAGGATTTTGGCCAAGTAGCAAAGTAAAATGAGGGGTCTCTGCGCTCATTTACCTATAAATGATCCAAAGTCCTTTGTATATAGGGCATTCTTAGGTGCCTTTGTTCCACAGAACATCCCATACTCATGTGGTCTGGTTACCGGAGAAGGGGCCTCAAACTAGTCTTCCAGGTGCCCATCCTGTGCAATTCTGCCCACTTCTGGACCAAATAGGAAGCCTGGAGGTGGTTTGCTCTCTGGGGTTTGAATGTTCCAGGAAGAATGCAGTGACAGATTGGGGCCGCAGTCCCACTGGCCCTCTGTGCCCTCTCCCTGCTCCCCGGGGCCCTTCTGTGTCCCAAGTTCAGGAAGAAAGCTTCACCTGAGGAGAGTGGCACCCAGGCCCTTATAGAGACCGGCCAGGCCCTGGGTGCGGAGTAGCTCCCAGGCAATAAGGCTGGCAGACGGGCGCTTGTGGGCGGAAGCTGAACCCATAGTGTAGGACCTGGAGGAGGAATGTGCTGAGGCCGAGCCCTGACGAACTGCTGAAAGGGAGAGGACAGACCCCATCACGAGCAAGGCCCCAGCAGGGAGTGTGCCTCCCGCCTCCTCACCCTGGGACAGCTCAGAGGTGAGGCTCACATGCCTACTAGAATTCTGATAATTGTCCGAATTTTATTTATTTTTAAGATATTTATTTTTAAGTCATCTAACGTGGGGCTTGAGCTCATGGTCCCGAGATCAAGAGTCACACGCTCTACCCACCAAGCCAGCCAGGCGCTCCAGATTGTCTTCATTTTAGAACATTCGTTTTTGGTTCCAAGGAAATCTTTCTAAGATCTGTGTCATCTAATGTGTCGTCCCCGCCGCACCGGGCACTTCCCAGGAGCCACGGCCCACCCGGCCTCTTCCATAGAGAGCTACAGCAGCACCTACTCCAGCCCCAATTCCTTATCCTCCCATTAAAGCTGTGCTTCTGATCTGGCTTCCATTTCTAAACCACCTCTGAGCCTATTTACATAGTTTCATCCTGCTGGCACTTTGGGACATCGGAGTCCCATTTCCTTCTGCCTAATGTGTAAAGCAGCAAATTCTTTTTGTCCAAAATCTATCTCCTTCAGGCCTCCAGAGGTGCCTCCTCCCTCTAGTATTCCAAGATCAGGTGAACACGGCCTTTATACCCTTCACCATTTTATAGAATTTGATTTTTCATTTTAGTTGAATAATTCAGAGCCCATCATTGGATGAGTTCAACATCTAAAAAATAGAAAGGAATTGTTTTTTTCCTGAGCATTTCAAGTACACCATTTCAACGTGGGTGAATCCCATTCATGAACACAGGATTCAATGTGCTGAAATCGTGTGACTGTTCTTTTTAATTCCCCCCATTTGAGCAGCTTTGTCTAGACTCTACGGCCTTGCTCCAAGGAAGTGATTTCATGTTCCAGTTTTGTCTAACAGCCAGCAGAGCGATATCTCACACTGAGAAGCTGCTGACTGCTCATCCTTTCCTGAGGCAGTGAACAGGGCGCAGGTCCACACAATGAGCTTGAAGAAGGTAGTTCATTGGTGAGCTGTATCTTCCCCATTGCCTGCCTGATGTGCCCATAGCTCCCCCGTTCATTCTTAGCCTGTCTTTCCCTGCTTTTGACGTGGTTTAGGAATACTAACACGCTCACCCAAGTTGAAAAACAAAATGTGGGGTGCCTGGGTGGCTCAGTCGTTAAGCGTCTGCCTTCGGCTCAGGTCATGATCCCAGGGTCCTGGGATCGAGCCCCGCATCGGGGTCCCTGCTCTGCGGGAAGCCTGCTTCTCCCTCTCCCACTCCCCCTGCTTGTGCTCCCTCTCTCGCTGTGTCTCTCACTGTCAAATAAATAAAATCTTAAAAAAAAAAGAAAAGAAAAGAGAAACAAAATGTTTCAGAGCTTTTACTCTTTGTAGATCAAAACACAGGGGCTTTCCAGCGCTCAAACTTTATTCTCGCTGCAGTTTCATGCACGTCAGGCTAGTCTGCTCGAACCTAGAAAGCTGGTTGAATTCTAGCACAGCAAGTGTGCACAGTGGGTTTGAACAGTGCTAGGTTAACCTTGCCGGTGCTAGGTTAGGCACCTCACATGCTGGCTTCTTTAATGCAGGTACTGCATTTCACCCCCGAGGAGAAGCCCTCTGTCCCACACCAAGGGTCTGGCCTCTCTTCCGCTGGATAGCGAACCCTGGTTCTTAATCTATGCTTTGGTACTTACACCACTTGGTATTTTTGAGAGGACCAGGATTTAGGAGAAGGACAAAATTCTCTTCCAAAAAACCAAAAAGAATAGGAATGGTTCTCTTGTCCCTTCTTATGCCTTCCCACCAAAGGCCAGCCTCTATAGCATAATATAAGAGAGCATAATATGATGTCTACTGACTGAAGTGTTTGTGATCAGTTCTTAAAATATTTAGGAAATCAAGCCTAAAGGTCATGGTGATCTGATAGAGATACTAGGTTATTTTCTGATTCAAGTTTCTCATTTCTGCTATAGAATTAGAAGTATTGAAATCTAGAAAGGTATCCATTAAATAAAGACTTCTAGGGGTAGAGCATGCGACTCTTGATGATCTCAGGGTTATAAGTTTGAGCCCATGTTGGGCATACAGATTGCTTAAAAAAATTTAAAAATCTTTTTTTTTAAAAGGTTTTATTTATTTATTTGACAGAGAAAGACACAGTGATAGAGGGAACATAAGCAGGCGGAGTGGGAGAGGGAGAAGCGGGCTTCCCACCAAGCAGGGAACGCGATGCGGGGCTCGATCCCAGGACCCTGAGATCATGACCTGAGCTGAAGGCAGACGCTTAACGACTGAGCCACCCAGGTGCCGCCAAAAAAATTTAAAAATCTTAAAAAAAAAAGAAAGACTTCTACAGGGATGCCTGGGTGGCTCAGTCAGTTAAGAGGCTGCCTTCGGCTCAGGTCATGATCCCAGGGTCCTGGGATCAAGCCCCGCATCGGGCTCCCTGCTCAGCAGGGAGCCTGCTTCTCCCTCTGCCTGCAGCTCCCCCTGGCTTGTGCTCTTTTTCTCTCTCTGTCAAATAAATAAATAAAATCTTAAAAAATAGACTTCTACTGACCTGGAAAGCTAACTGAATCACACAGTCTAGCCAATGAGTGCAGAATGTGGGGAAATCTATTCTGATCATAGCCCTTTGCTAATCCCATGTGAAGTCAGGATAGGCCTCACCCAAGCGCCCAGCATCCTGCAGCTGAATCTTGAGCATTTCCATGGGACAGGTAACCACCACCTGGCATATTCCAGCTCCACATCCAGCTAGCATCTCCATCTTCAGATTCCGCTGCATCCTGTGGGACCATGAGTCAGGCTCCTTCAGGCCAGCCCTGCCACCCACCCTGGCCCATCTACCCAAGTCCCTTGGTAGTTGGGACTTTCCGTGCATGGTACTCAGCCTCGTTTGGATCAGCTGCCACTCACCCAGCTGGGTAAATCATCACCTGGCCCTCAAACACAGTCTCCTTAAAACATGAAGCTAAATTTAAAACAGGCGCCAGGGAGGTAGAACTTGCACAGAGGTTGAAACTAGTGCACTCAAACTACCCATTGCAGGGATGTGATTGTCCCTGATCCCTGAAGCAGTATCACCAGGGCAATGGGAGGCACAGAGAGTACTAGAAAGTGTTTGGGGGCTGATTTTTAAAAATTCATCAGTATAATAAGTGACACATAGATCAATGGACAGATTTGAAAACCCAGAAATAGAGCCCCACATATACAGTGGTCAGCTAATATGTGACAAGAGAGCCGAGAATACTCCATGGAGAAACGACATTATCCTCAATAGATTGTGCTGGGAAAAATCAGATATTCACATGTAAAAGAATGAAACCAGACCCCTATCTTACACCACTTACAAAAATGAACTCAAATGGATTAAAGACTTAAATGTAAGACCTGAAATGATAAAACTCCTAGAAGAAAACACAGGGGAAAGCTCCTTAACTTGGGTCACCTAAAGCACAAGAACATGAACAAAAACAGACAAGTGTGGCCACTTCAACCTGAAAAGCTCATGCAGAGTGAAGGAAACCATCAACAAAATGAAAAGGCAGCCTATGGGCTGGGAAAAAAAAACTTATACATCACATATCCAACAAGGAGTTAATATCCAAATATATAAAGAACTCAACTGGATAGTAAAAAACAAAAACAAAAAAAACCCAAACCAAACAACAAATAATCCAATTAAAAAATAGACAAAGGACTGGAAAACATATTTTCCATAGAGGATATTCAAAAGACCAACAGGTACATAAAAAGGTGCTCAACATCACCAATCATCAAGGAAATGCACATCAAAATCACAGTGAGATATCACCTCACACCTGTTAGAATGGCTAGTATCAAAAAGACATATAAGGGGCGCCTGGGTGGTGCAGTCGGTTAAGCGCTGGACTCTTGATTTTGGCTCAGGTCATGATCTCAAGGTCGTGGGATAGAGCCCTGTGCTGGGCACTGCCCTCACTGGGGAGTCTGCTGGAGATTCTCTGTCTCTCCCCCACACCCTGCTGTCTCTCTCTCTCAAATAAATAAATACATCTTAAAAAAATAAAAAGATAGGGGTGCCTGGGTGGCTCAGTCAGTTAAGTGTCTACGTTTGGCTCAGGTCATAATCCCAGGATTGTGGGGCCAAGGCCCACATTGGGCTCCCTGCTCAGCGGGGAGTCTGCTTCTCCCTCTCCCTCTGCCGCTGGTGATCTCTCTCAAATAAGTAAAATCTTTAAAAAAAATAAATGTCTGGTAGAATGGGAAGCCATCTGGCCCAGGACTTTTTGTTTTTGTTTTTTTAAGATTTTTATTTATTCATTTGAGAGAGAGAGAGTGAGACAGAGCACAAGCCAGGGGAAGGGGCAGAGGGAGAAGCAGACTCCCTGCTGAGCAGGAAGCCTGATGACTCAGGGCTCAATCCCACACCCAGGAATCATGACCTGAACTGAAGGCAGATGCTTAACTGACTGAGCCACGCAGGAGCCCCAGGCCAGGACTTAAAAAAAAAAAAAAAGATAAATGCTGGTGAGGATGTGGTGAAAGGGGAAGCCTGTGCGCTATTGGTGGGAATGCAAACTGGTGCACTATGGGAAACATAGTGGCCTCCATAGTATGGAGGTTCCTCAAAAAACTAAAAAGAGAATTGATCTAGCGATTCCATTTCTGGGTATATATCCAAAGGAGGTAGAATCACTATGTTGGTGAGCTATCTGCACCCCCACATTCACTGCACTACTGTTCACAAGATCCAAGATTTGGAAACAACCTATGTGTTCATGGACAGATGGATGGATAGAGAAAATGTGGTATATATACAATACAATATTATTCAGCCATAAAACAAAGGAAATGCTGCCATTTGAGACATGGATGGACTTCAAGGGCATTATGCTAAGTGAAAAAAGTCAGACAGAGAAAAACAAATACTGAGTGGTCTCACTGACATGCGGAATCTAAAAAAAATTCAAACTCACAGGGGCTCCTGGGTGGCTCAGTTGGTTGAGCATCTGACTTTGGCTCGGGTCATGATCCCAGGGGTCCTGGGATCAAGCTCCACATTGGGCTTCCCGCTCAGCAGGGATTCTGCTTGTCCTTCTCCCTCTGCTCCTCTCCCCACTTGTTCTCTCTCTCTCTCAAATAAATAAATACTTTTTTTTTTAATTCAAAGTCATAGAAAAAGAGATTGGATTTGTGGTTATCAGAGGACAGGAATTAGGTGAAGATGCTCTATAGGCATAAACTTCCAGTTACAAGATAAGAAGTACTGGGATGTAATGCAGCATGATGAGTAAGGTTAACCCTGCTCTACAATACAGTTGACAGTTGCTAAGAGAACAGATCCTAAAGTTCTCATCTCAAGGAAAGAAACAACTTTTTTGGGTAACTATCGGAAGTAATGGATGTTAACCTAACTTATCGTAGTAAACATTTCACAGTATATGTCTATAAATCATTATACAGTGCATAACTATGCACTGTACAAACTTATACAGTGTTGTACTACAGTTATATCTCAATAAAAATGAAAAAAATGTTCATAAGCTAGTTGATGAATATATGTAGAGTCTATAATGATCTATCTATCATCTAGAACTTTCAAATTACACCAGCTCATTTTCTCCTTTCTCTTTCCTTTTTTTTTTTTTTTTTTAAGATTTTATTTATTTACTTGACAGAGAGAGAGAAAGAGAACACATGCAGGGTGAGCGGCAGGCAGAAGGAGAGGGGAAAGCAGGCTCCCGGGGAGCAGGGAGCCCAATGCAAGGCTCAATCCCAGGATCTCGGGATCATGACCTGAGCCAAAGGCAGACACTTAACCAACTGAGCCACCCCAGGCGCCCCCTCCTTTTACTTTCCACTTGCCAAAACATAACACTAAACTTCTGCCATATGTGTGCACATATTCACATGCATGCAGACAGGTAAACTGATACTTTCCTCTCCCTGTCACCATCCCCCCAAACTATAAACATACAGTGATGTATTTCCACCCCACAGCCCCCCACCTGGCCATACCCATCCTCCATTAGCAGCTGCCGGAAGAAGTCATTGGCTGCCAGCTTGATGGCCTTCTCTGGAGTGACCAAGGTTAAGTTCACTGCAGCTCCTGGAAGTAAAAAACGAGGACAAGTTAAGGCCATCTTAAAGGTAAGACTTCTTGGGTCACCTGGCTGGCTCAGTCAGTGGAGCGTGCAACTCTTGATCTCAGGGTTGTGAGTTTGAGCCCCATATTTGGTGTAGAGTTTACTTAAAAATAAATTACTTAAAATTAAAAAACAAAAGTCACAATTCTCTGAATCTGTCACTCATGTAGGCAACCTACTCTCACTCCTAGCCAGGCAGGTTTCTGGGAGGAACTGGGGTCTTGTGGGGGAGGCTGTTGAGGAGGGTTCTTCTGCCTATTTTATAGAAACATGAAAGTTTTTTTTATCTCCCTACTTTGACTCTCCTCCCTCCACATTTCCCTCTTGGACGCATGTGTTTCCTTTATGGGCTCATTGGTGCAGTTATTGGGAAGTTATTTTCGTCCTTGCAAGTGCTGCCCATCTTGATGATAAGTGAAGAGTTCCCCAAATCAAGCCCCAGTAATAAGGTCCTAGGGGACGGGGTTCGGTTTCCATCGCTCTGTGCTTTACTAGCCCAGTCCCACTGGCAGTTTTGTGAGTTACAGCAGTTTTTATTTTATTTCTCAGGGGTACTAGAATATCCTCCTTTTTTTTTTTTTTTTTTTAAGATTTTATTTATTTATTTGACAGAGAGAGACACAGCGAGAGAGGGAACACAAGCAGGGGGAATGGGAGAGGGAG